TAACAAATATGCTAACAAATAACAATTATCATTACCTTTCATTTACGTTGAAAAGATTTACCTACCACTAGCTGTTTTAGCAATTTCAAATCATCACTTCTGAAATAAAACACAGACAAAACAATCTTAGATGTCTGCCTAACCAGAAGACATTAGATAATGGATGAAAGGTACATAACATCAACACTAGGGCACAAATGGTACTAAGCCAAAATACGTATAGTAACCATACAGTAACCAAAAATACATATAGTTCCCCATGATTTCTACAGAAAAGGCTGACACAGGTTTCCGAACTCAGTTGGAAACCTGGTATCCAGAAAAAGAACTCTGGGAAACATCAGCAAAAACAAACTGTGCAGGTAAAGATATTGCCCCATTTGTATCTTTGCTTTGGCTTTATTTTCAAAAAAAAAAAAAAGATTAAAATCATTAGACTAAGACTTGATTCATAAACAACTTAAAGCAAACAAAAAGAGTTATAAAAGTGCTTCCACAAACAGTTTTCCATATGCATGAATATACACATATAGGTACACACACTTTTTCCACAGTACGCAGAATTCATGACGAATTTATTCCTATTATTTTCTCTACTTCTAAACAAGTGTTTTGTAATCATAGCCTTCTTGAAAGCACTTAAAGCACTGCCTGAACACCACCTACATTATGATGATGCCTTGAAATGAGATGAAGTTGTTGTTGTTCAGAATAATTAGGCTTTGAACGTTTACCACAGTATCGCTGAGCTTATTAAAATTGTTGCCATAAATTTTCATATATACTGGGAATGTATACACAATCTGAGTCAGGTTTTCTGTTATTAGAACAGCATGTTTATCAGGAGAAAGAAATGCAAGTAGTATCACGTCAAAAGTGGGAAAAAAACAAGTCATATGCAAGATTACAGAAGTTTAACAAGTATAAATAGAGAGAAGTAAGACAATCTTTTAATGATCGTTCTAAACTGATTAGTAATAAAAACATATGTATGGAGTGATTTCCCTTTCCTCATGTTCTTAATATTTCTGTTATTGACAGACAATTGACTTTCTACTGGAAAATACAGAAGAGTCACCAAAGACTGGTATACTAACAAACATGCTTCTACTGGAGGGAGATGCATCAACACCTTTGTCTCTTCTGTGAAGACAAATTTCTAACTTGTCTGCCCAACAGCACTAGGTCTACCAAAGAGCTAAGTTGAATTTGTGAGATATAGATGTCCTTTTGGCTGCTGGCAACAGGAACACTTTCAACAAAGAGAAATATCAGGACCAAGAACGTCACATCTCTCACATGAAACATAAAAATGTCAAAACACAACAAAACTAAACCCAAATTTGATCTGATAATGTTTGAAGCAATATGAATATTTCAAGCAATATGAATGAAGACTGCAAACTTTAGAATTTAGCTTTAATGAATTAAGTTTGCAAATTTTCCATTTCTGCAATGCAGAATATTCAAGCTAGACTCATTGTAAAAAAACACGTTACTCCAGGAAATGTAGCAATGATACTAGGTTAGTTTCCTCAAGAGTACATCCCATTTTTGTTCTATAAAGGGACAGTCTCAGAAGTCTGCAGCTCTCCTAGACAGGAAAGAACTATAACAGCTATTCTCTTTACATCCTGAACCTACCGTATATGGGTATGGGATCTTGTTCATCTCCTACTTCCACTCATATTTTCTAAAGTCTCTTGCCTTTTCCTTTTTATCTTCTTCAACTCTTCCTACTAATGAACTTTTACTATGAATGTCTTGAAGTCCTAAATTCATACCTATCATTTATTCTTTGTTACACAGGCAAGCTGTTGTTTCTTGTTTCTGAGATTGACTTCTGCTGTTTCTTCTCACTTATGTCCACAATTCAAGTTGCTTGAACTTAGACACAAGTGTTAGCCTTGATCTCTCAACAGCTCTCCTCTGAAGTCAACCTGAAGATAGAGAGCAGACTTCACAAGGCCATGACCAAAACTATTCCTATCAAGAAAATATATATATATAAAAGTATTTGGCTCATATACCCTCTGAGACAGCATGGAAAATTCAAACCAGAAAGGCTTCCTCCTCAGAAATAAGTTTATATTTTGACAGGTATTATTCTGACGTGAAAGCTCATATTTTCTGCTTTTGAAGATAAATGTTGAAATTGGCACTGATCATAATTCAGCATTATTAAAGATCTTCTCCAGCCATAATGATTCTATGATTATTCTAAGATACCCTACCTTTTCTATACCTTTAGAAAACATATTCCCACAGAGTTGGCATGAATGCTCTCCAGGACCCAAGCAAGAGTTAGTAAGTTCATTGGGAACAAAACCGACCTCACTAGAACTAAAACATCCTCTGCAGAGAGAAAAAGCTAGAATACAAAATTCATTTCCAGATTATGAATTTGTGAATATTTGAATCTATTCAAAACTGAATGTTTAATTTAGACAATGTCTATAATGTTGAAATAATTAAAGCAATAACATTTTATTTTACTAAATTTCACAGATTTATTCTTTGCAAAAATATTGTCTTTTTTAAAGGGTTTGACATTCCTTTGATTTAAAGGAAGTGTTAAAAATAACAAAAAAGGAAGTCAGATGAGTCAAATGAAGGTAGCAAAAGCCTAGCTTTGAGCAATAGTGAAAATGTCTATCCTAAATATCCTATATTAAGAGATCATTGCCCATAAAAACATGATCTATTGAGATAACAATATAGCAGTGTTCCAGATGACCGATTACAATTCTTGCTGAGAAACTTTCTTAAATACATTTTAAATACAACTACAGTCACACACTAAGTGATAGAAAGAATAGCAATGGGGCACTTTTAATGTAGACCCCACTTGCACATACGCTCACTGAAAAAAATGTTGAAGAACAGCTGCTGCAGAAGTTCATAGGAGTCCCAGCCCTGGAAATTTTCAGCTGTCAGTGCCTATGGGTAACTTTTCAGTGCAGCTAGTTTTACAATGAAACAAACAACAGATCTAGTTTCCAGGGTAACAATTATCAGCTAAATAAACAGCATTTTTTAAAACTTATCTACTAAACACATCAGCAGCAAAACCAAAATTGCTTAAGATAATGAACCAAATACAGGTGTGTCTGCATTCAGCCAGTTATTTCTGCAAGAAAGTCCATTCAGGAGGTGGGGTAGAAAAGAAGCAGAATGATTGGAGAAGCCCACAACACACTCCCAGGAACATGACTTGAACCTGAGCAAAGGGGAGCTGCACTGCCCCTCTGCTGCAATGGGCATGATATATTGCCAGGTTCCTTTCTTCCACTCTCCCTGCAACAATTAATCTTTTTTTTTTTTTTTCTCCTTCTGCAGCATTTTCCTCAACATGTAGTTTGAGTCAGTCAATCATATTTTAATATTAAGATATCAGAAATTTAATAAATCAAAAATGGGCTCTCAGATGTAGAACTCATATATACAAAATACAAACATATATACCTGTTTCTACAGATTTCAAGAAGAGGCCTTTCAGCAGCTTCAGGGAGAACCAAACTGAGAACCTTAAGCTATTTCCTCAGTACACCAGAAACAGTTTTTGCTTCAAACTTGAAAATAAGCACAAATGCAACCGTCTTACAGAGCTGAAAAAATGGTTCAGTTCAGTATGAAAAACAAAACAAAATATGTGATCAAGTTCAGACATACGTTATCCTCCTCCCACAGGAAACGCTGTTTTCTTCATGTGGAATCTGCTAGACCACATCTAAATTAGAGAAATCACTGATTAAAATCATCTGTTTTGTCCAGAAAACAATCTGCTGAATTCAAACCACCAAATTAAAATCACATATTTTTCCCACAAGCTTTCTCAAGATTACGGGGAAAAAAAATCTCCTTTTGTTCTAGAGGTAGAAATGCCTACAAGTAACAAAATATCCATCAAGAGTTTATTAAAAAACATTCCCAAACTTTCTACAGAACCTTAGCTTAGGAAGAGTTGGACAATTCAGATGACGTTGCTATGATATTCCTTATAATTGATGTGATTTTTATATAAATTTTTATATATAAATATAAACAATTTATTTATATATAAATATAATATTTATACTATGGATATACACATTAATATAAAAGTATAAAGTTTATATATATACACACACATTCTTTCATAAAATGACTCAAATAAGAATAACTAGCAAGAAGCAATTGGTAAACCTTCTCTTATCTGTTACACTGTCTAAGCTTTTGCCTGTGGATTTATTTTCAATGAATAAAACCACCATGTTTGATATTTATTACATATTGGTTTAATACAAGGATTTTGTTGTTATTTATCTGGCCCCCAATGAATTCACGACCAAATAGTCAAAACTTTAAAAACTAATGCTCTGGAGTTCCTTTTTAAAATGGCCACACATCTTAGCTGCCCTAAAACTACAGAGATGCTAAGTGCTTCCATCTTACCCATTAAAAGCCATAACAGACATCATTTTTCAGTATCTAGCATCTTAAAGAATAACTTAGCTCAAAGAATTTGAGAGGAATATATATATATGTATATATATATGTTATATATATATGTTGACTGAGAGGATAGCAGAGCACTGGAACAGCTTTGCCAGAGAGTTTGTAGAGCCTCCTTCTCTGCAAATATTCACAATCTGCTTGGACATGATCCTGTGCAATGTGCTCAAAGTGGGAGGTCTGAAAAAGTTCCTTCCAATCAAAATGATGCTGTGATACTCCACAGGAAGTTGCAGTTGAGAAGAAAGCACAGAGTACTTTAATATGCCTTTATTTCTCTCCATTTAAGATTTCCAAGCCAAAGTTATCTTTGTTTTATAAGTTATAGCTATAGTTCTAAGTCACCCATTGACTGCTTTGTATCATAAGAAAATACTGAGCCAACAACTGTTTACCCATTAGATTCATGCACATCCATTACCCAGTGGATCCATGCACATCAAATTCTGTAAATGGGTAATTCCCACAAAGATTTCTGAAGAAAGGAGCAAGTAAAACAGAATCTGTCATTCTTTTTCAATCCCTGCTAAGGAAATTTCTGATATAAGAAAATTCAATACTATCTAAAACAAAGATGAAAAATAGCAATCGCAAGACAAAGAAAATTCGAAGTTAAAATAAGAAAAGAAGTCAAACAGAAGTTGCAATACTGAGAGTTTGTGACTGATACAGACACTGATGCTTTTTTTTTTTTTTTTTAAGGATGCACTCTAGTGGACGCATGTAACAACACCCAAACAGGAATATTATGAAATAATAGAACATAAAAGCCACATGTTGAAAATAGTTAGAATTATTTCCTAATAACTTTAAAATAGTCCTACAAGCTGAACAGAATTCCTAATCAAATATGAAATTTGAAATTTTCAGTCAATATGGTGAAACAAAACATAGATGAGCATGATTTTTCATCAATTTTTGAATTTTTTAAACTAAAAAGGAGTTTGCAGTACATATATTTGTTCAAAAGCCAAATTCCATGTACTTATAGAGTTATTAAATCTGAGATATGCATAAGGGGCAGCAGTACACCCAGTGTTTATAGATGTAATTCAAACTGTAGTGTCCTCAAGTGCAGCCTCTTTTAACTCCTGTTAGGACTGTGACACAGCCTGTTTACTGGAGAATCAACCATTCATTGATACGTTCACAGAACACAATTCACTCCCCAGTAAAGATTCTGAATGCTTTTGCATTTTATAGAAGCTTCATATATATACACCAATACAAAATAAATGTAGATACCAGAGCTGGACAACTTGGTCACACAAGTGGTCCCACTGTTCCCTACTCAGAGCTACACAAATATTCATCAATATTTATGCCTGTGAAATGCTCCTCCTTTGCTCTAATAAAAAGGTTCTTATCCAACATACAAATTAACAGTGTCTACAGTAAAAATTCTACATGCCAGAATTAACAGACTTTATACAAATGCCTGGAAAGCACGGCAAAAAGAAACATTAGATATGTAAGCCAACTCTCTATATGAAACACATAATTTAAGTCACTGCACTGATGAAACAACAGATAATGTTTAATCACTGAAACAACAGATAATGTTTAGAAAATGTGTTTTCTGCTTTCAGATCAGTTGTGATTTTTCTTGTTCCGATTCTGCCATGAAATCTGTTATACTCTAAAATCAGGGAAAAAAAAGGCTGTCAGTTGCTAGCATTAACTCAACTTTGAATAACAATATTAATAAAGACATGCACATGAAGACACAAGTAATAAGTTTATGTCCACTGAATATACATAAAAAGGAAAGTTAATCCATGTCCTCTCACGTCTCTAGGCTGACAGGTACGAAGATTAAAAAAATGAGCATAAAAAACACCTGTATAAAGCAGTACAGCACTGTAATTCTAACTGTCATGTTAACATGCAGCTCAGATAAGTTGCATTTCATCATCTTAATGAGCCCTCAATACCTGATTTTATATGTTACTGGTTTGCCCAGGTATTGCTGTGCAAAATTGAATTCTGTTGTACAAACAACATACTTCAGACCATATGAAAATATAAGTTTGTTCAGTCACTTGAATATAAACTGAAACATACTGATGTGCTTTCTGTATGAATATCTGTTCCTAAGGGAAAGGAAAAACTACCATCTCTCTGAGAATAATCCTAATCTCATTTGTATCACATATGAATACAAAAGTGCATCTTGATACTTGAGAATTTAGTCAGCTATTACCAAGCATTACCAATTACTTAGCAATTCAGGGACAGTTTGGAAATTATAGCCGAAATAAATTCATTTAAAATCATAGGTAAGAACTAGACAGTCTTAACTGTCACAGTTCTAGCCTCTGATAGTGCTAATACAGATAAGAAAAACCTTTAAAAATCAGTATTTTATAATCTCACTGTACTTTGTGTGCACTTACATCATACTGTCCATTCTCATCCAGCTCTTCAACTCGGGTCAGATTAGGTGCTCCAAATCTATCTGTTAGTTCAGCTATTGTCTTTTCCTGTTCCTATAGTATGAAAAACAAGTTTTCAGTTTAAGGCACTCACTCCATATCACAAGTAATTATTTAGAGAGAAGACTTCAAATATACTGAAACAACTATATATTAATATAAAGAGAACAGTATAGATGCAGTCTACACAAAAGTGACACAGAAGTATAAATAAGGTCTTAGTACTCTCATTGATATTATTATTTTTAAATGGACATATCTTTAAACTATGATGTGCTCCATGTAAATTTAAAAAACATTCACATTTGAAAGTTATATTTGAAAGTTATACTGAGATAAACTTCACAATTAGCAGTTCATATTCTTATTAAAGTATCAATAAGACCGAATATTTATATAGATCCATGTAAGCACTTTTTAGCTAGTATAACTCCCTGAGGATTACACATCTTATAAGTGACATCCCATCTTACAATCTCTTTTTTTTTCAAGGTACCACAAATGGAATTTACATTGACACAAATTGATTACTGAATAGGCTTTTAAATTAGACCCAACTTTGAATACTTTTTCAAAGTATTTTTCAAAGTATTCAAAGTATTTCAAATTATCAAGGACAGCAACAACTAAACTTAAGCTAAATCTTAAGCTAAAATGTGGAATAAATTTATTCTTTATTTTGAATATTAACTAAACAAATTTAATAGAAGTGATGAAGAATCAAGTCTAAAACTCTGATTGGAAGTAAATAGTTTGACATCATTTTCACATAATTTCTTATAATAATTCCTGATGTGTTAGTTCAACACCTATAGGCCTTTGCACTTTGTATTTAATGCCTGCATCTGAAAAMGATAGGTGATAAACGGTATTTTCAAGTCCCTGACTAAGCTTTAGCTTAAACCTCTTGATTTTTCTGATGCAACAGCCATTTCTCTGCTTTCTCTTTTTCTATCCTTTGCAGTTCCAATTCCTCACGCTCTCGTTGCAACTGTTCCTGCAGTCATTTCATGAAAGGACAAATTAGATGGAAAAAAATATATACCAACAATAAAGCATGCACTACCCTCCCCCACACAAATACCCATTTTATCTTCTCCAGCCCATTGCTTTAAATGTATTTCATGATTTAAATCTGAGAACAAACAAAAAAACATAAGACATAACTGCAATGTTAATAAAATCWAGTCCTTCCAGTGCAGAAAGGACAGCAAGGTTTTAATGTCACAAGGAAGAAAAAGACAACTGAACATCATCATAATGATATTGTCTTATTCTTCAAGCCTTTTAGCAGCACAGTTCCGTTATCTCCTATAATGAGGATTAAGTTCTCTGGCACTTTGCATAGTATCCAACATAGAATGATGAATCCAAAGACAATCAAATCTACGGAAATGGATGATAAGCTAGATCATTAATACGAACCTTCATCATCAACCTTTACAATTTCCAATTAAAAARTGAGCCTAGAAATGAGTCTAATGAGCTTAGCATGCATGGAAAATTACATTTCTGTTTTTAATGTCATGTGAAAGTCAGCTGTGTTTTAAAAGACACCAGTATGACAACTTCTTTCCGCTACCAAAGCAACATACATAGCAGAGGCTGTTACACAGGAGGCTAAATACATAAAGACTCCTCTCTAAAGAACAGTTAGAAATGCATGTACACCTTTATTTCTCCCATTTCAACTGCATACAGTACAAAATTCGAGTTGCCTTACGCTACAGTAGCCCAAGACACCACTCTGGATACCGTAAATAGATAATGTTCATTCATCGATTCACAACCATTTGCAGGAATGTGTAATTGTGTATACATTTGCATTATATTTTCTGTCATACTGATATTACAATGCATGCAATAGCTTGAGGCAAAGTCAGTTATAAATCCCAGACCACCTAGCAAGGCTCCATCAAAAAAAAAAAGTTGCAGTGATTTCTAGCTTTACTTGCATAAGCTCTTATGCAAACTCTTTAGTTTAGTGTTGTAGGAAGATAGCTCACTAATTTTAAGTTACTTCCACCAAAGTCTTAAATTGGCTGCTCTTTACCTTAGGTTTCATCATCTTTTTAATAACACCTTACCACAGATACTGTACATTTATTTTCCCATCTGCTGACTAATCATTTCAWTCAATATTTTGAAAAGTTAAAATATTGCTTTTATGTCTCCTTTCAAAATCATTATATAGAGATCAGAAGTACACAGAGTGCTATGAGATGCCACAACATCACCTACTGTTATGATTAACTATTATTAACTGCTATTAACCTGACGTTGTTCTTCAAGTTTCTGCTGGATTAAAAGTTCCTCTTCTTTCATTTTTTCTAGCATTTTGACTTCTGCTAGGGCTGCCTCCCGTTCCTGTTCCAGCTCAGTCCTCTCCAACCTTCTCTATTATCAAACAGAGAAAACAAAGACATATGAGAGAGAGAGAGAGAGAGAGAGAGAGAGAGAGAGAGAGAGAGAGAGAGAGAGAGAGAGAGAGAGAGAGAGAGAAGTAAGAAAAAGTGGAAGTTTTTCCCCGAGGTAAACCTTTTGTTCGTCATCTAAGATTCTCTTGTAATTATAAATCCAGTGTGCCAGGTATTCTATTGGATCTGCTGGCCGATGCTCTACAACCTCGGCCAGTCCCTTTGTTAAGCAATTTCCCAGGCATCTCTTCAGGTACTGGGACTCCATCTACACCTAGTAACAACAAACAGACATACATTAACCATCAAGTTAGATTTAAAATAAAGCTTTTAAGAACTAACTCAGGCACCAAACACTGAATATGGCATTATTCTTTTTATTAATACTATTTTAAACAATAGGTATGGTGCAAGGGTGCAAGTTAAAATCTTTTCAGAGACGCTGCTAATCCACTGTATGAATTTTGCTTCTATTTTCCCTTTTACGTATTTATCTTGCTATACAGGTATCTCTTCAGAAGAGGAAGTAACTTTGTTTGCAAACAATAGAGGTTATCACTTCATAGAAATACAAATTCAGTATTACCATTAACTTCTTCATTTTGTTCTTTTAAGAAACACTCAAACTCTAAGAACATTCGAACAGATTGTGAACTGACTGAAATCAGTTGTCCGTCTTTTTGTTTAAAAAAACATGAAAATGAATGAGAAATCTTTTATGCACTGATTTTCCTTCTTTCCTGCCCACAAAGAATAGATATACATAAGCTAGAAGATAGAAATTAAAAATACTATAAAGTTCAAAGCTTGCAGTTAGAGTGATATAGAAGCTATACAAGCATAAAGGCTTAGTGTCTCAGCTGTGATGGAATAGCAGTGCAATTCATACAGGCAAAAGCTGTATTTGGAAAGGAGAACCCTATATATTCTGGACCATAACACAAATCAGTTAATATAGATCAGTTAAATAGTGCAAACTCCTCACAGCTAAGAATGGACCAATTTATATCAGAGAAAAACAAAATCAGTAATCTAGTTTTAGTTTAAAACAAGTGGAATCTTATATGGAATCTTGCAAGAAAGAGTTAGAAAATTGTCTTCTTTCAGAAAGGGAAAATTGAAGCAAGTGGACAGAGTGAAAGAGATTCTCTGCATCAGCTCAAGCTGAGGCATGCTGTATTCAAAAAGCTGGCCACAAGGAATCAGTGCTGTCAGAAAATGCTTTTGCTAACAAATTATTCTCCCTTTCTCTACAGCAATACTCAAACACGCTGGTATGAAGTAAAGGGACTTGTTTGCCACTGCGTGACCAGGTAGTTGGAAAACAAGTGAAGCAGATAACTTAACACAGACTATTACAAATTGGATTTATGGGTTCTGCTTTACATTAGCCATAAATGCAATATACAAAATAGGGTTGAGGCTTCAGAAACATCTATACTGAACTTGAAAGCATATGTTTTATGTATTCTTAGTCCATATACACATAACCTTGGATACAAATCCACAGAAAATACTGCTATACCCAGAGAGCATTCCAGTAACTCATCCATATTTTGCTAAGAGTGCATATTATATATAATTAATTCTCTTAACATGCAAGAATTTCTTCCGGCTTCAAGGGATTTTGCCACTCACTTTTTAAGTATATTTACTTCTCATATCTGCTTTCTGGACCTGTTTCGGGGGGGGAAAACTAGCTTAACGATTTCATCCATTTACACAACAGAACAACAGATAAGTACACAGCAGATATAAACCACATCAAGCTCTTCTATCATACGTAAAGCTTAAAAGATGAATTCAAAAACCTCTGTTTTCCTACAGCTCACAATTGATATAAGCAAGTTATGTGTACTTAATATCATTTTAGTTCTTAAAAGCTGTGGGGATGGGTGAATTATACAATGCACTGCAGAAAAGCAAATGCTCAAAAAAAAAAACGCTTACAATCTAGGCATGGGGTATTCCAAAACCGCTTGGAAATAAGCAGGTAATGCCAGGTGAAAATGATAGCAAAAGGCAGCCTCCCTGCCCGCCATTACCAACCGTTCCTCCGTCCCAACGGCTCTCCGCCCGTTCCCGCGCCGTAACGGACGTCAGGCCACAACGGCGGCCGCGGCACGCCCGGCGGGACGCTATGCTGCGTTGCTAGGCGACGTGCGCATGCGCGCTGCACGAGGCAGCCGACTGGCGAGAGAACAGCCGTTAAAGCGGAGCCCAGCGCCCTACGCTGGCTTGGAGCATGTGGGGCTTTGCGGGGAAATAAAGCATTTTCAGGACCTACAACGGGATAGGTTAGTCAACCACAGGGTATCTGTTTAAGCAAAGCTGTAATGCTGCATGCTTAGCCTCGCAGGATAGAAAATGACTGATCTTTTCTCCTAGTTGGCAAACTTCTTGCTTGGCASTCCTTCATCTATTTGGCCAGATTTTATTAGTAACTAGTTAATAATAATAAWAAAAAAAACTCAAATAATTTACAGCTTAGAGAACAAATAAAGTGTCCTATTGCTTCTGAAGATTAACTACACTAAAGCTATCTGGAAGTTCTTCCCTAGCAACATTTTCGAGAACTCAAAGCTTCACAAGAATAATGAAGCTGACCTTCCGAAAGTCGTTTTCAGCAAAAGCTCGTTTCCATACAGGCGATACCAGCAAAAGAGACGACGCAGGTCGCAGCACCTCCTCTCACGGCCGCAGGAGGGCCCAAGTGGCCGTTAAACGGTCCTTATATGTGCGCAGGCGCACGACGCTGCCGCTCTGCGCATGCGTCGCTCCGCCCCGCGCATGCGTGAAGAGGGCGCGGGTCATGGCGGCGCGTGGCGTGCCGGCCGAGGCCTGCGTGGGTCAGTTAGTGCTGCCGGGGGATGTGCTGCTCCTGCCCGCGCACCCCGACGAGGACAGCGAGCGGCTGCGCCTGGGCGCCGGCGCGGCCCGGCGGGGACGGCTACTCTGCGGCCCGGGACTGAGGCGCAGCGACGCCGGGCTCGTGGTTACTAAGTGCGGGCTGCTGCGGCACCGCCCCGCAGGTGGCGGCGGCGGCGGCGCCTTCTGGGTGGACTCGCAGCAGAAGCGGGTAGGCGGCGGCGGCGCCATGGCAACGGGGGCGGGGCCGCGGGGCCAGGTGACCGTTGGGCGCCTCGTCGTGCGCCGCCATGGTGGCGAGGACGCTGCCCCGAGCGGCGCTGCTGAGCTCCCCTTGCCGTCCCTGACCTCCCTCATCCCGCACCTTCCTTTGCAGTACGTGCCGGTCAAGGGAGATCACGTAATAGGAATAGTGACGGCCAAAACGGGAGACCTCTTCAAGGTGGATGTGGGGGGAAGCGAGCTGGCGTCTCTGTCCTACCTGGCGTTTGAAGGCGCAACGAAGAGGAACAGGCCGAATGTGCAGGTAACGCGCCTGTCTGTGGGTGACAGCGCTCCAGCCGTGTCACTCGTTCTCATAATCCAGGTTCTAGTGTGTTTTGGTAAGTTAGGTGCCTTTATGAACTGTCTGAAAGGATAATGCAGTTTATTTGTAATGGTTTTGTYTTGGCTCAGCAGCAATAGTGTGCATCAAGGAGAGCACAAGCTGAGGTTTTTAGAAAAGCTTTTAAGACTGGTAGAACACTGTGTTTTGTTTGTTTTTGTTTTGTTTCATAATGCTGCTGAGAGGACAGTTGTGTGGTGAAATAACATCACTAGGTGTAAAAGGAAAAATTAAATGGGCAGATAATGCTTTAAAAAAAAAATTGATATATGAGTGGGTGGYTTTAACCTTGACTTTTAACACCATTAAATCTGAAGGCAGGAGGGAATTCACCTTTGATATTTTAGAGAGAGGAAAAAAGGGAATACTTGCATGAGAGAAAATTCTGTACTTGTATTATGTTTTTGAAAAATTGATTTCAAATTTTAGTTGATACATGGAAACTTGGTGATACAGGGTAATTGTTTCTAGGAAATGTCATCTTTAATGGAAGAAAAATTATTATTATGCCAGTTCATTTTTCTGTCAACACTGTTCTGGAACTCTTTTCTGTTTGTTGAGAGTATCTTTATCAATGAGTGTTTCTTATAGATGTGGAGTATTATCTTCTCTAATCCTTTTCCTTTCTGGACACTGCTTGTTTCAGGTGGGAGATCTTATTTATGGTCAGTTTCTTGTAGCAAACAAAGACATGGAACCAGAGCTGGTCTGTATAGACAGCAGTGGAAGAGCAAGTGGCATGGGAATAATTGGAGAAGACGGCTTCCTTTTTAAAGTTTCCTTAGGTCTAATAAGAAAGTAAGTATTGAGGAAAACCAGAAATCCCTCTTAACATGCAGTGTTGTAGGTAGGTTATCTAACATCAGACAATGGTTTCAGGTATATATCTACTAGCTGGGAATTTAAAAATCAGATATGCTTTCTGTGGGGTTTTTTTTTCTGCTTAATTGCATAATGGTCTGCCTAGTTAGGTGGTATCAGTTTGGCTGAAGCTRAGAGTTGTGAATATCAAAGAGCAACAGATGACCTGGGTAAATGATAACAAAATTTCTTCAGGAAAAAGCACATAGCAATCAAAAAGGAAATTAGTCTTAATAATTTATTTTGGCTTTAATTCTTTTTTTTTTTTGTCTGCCTGCTATTATTTGCCCTGTAAGCAGTAGCTGATACAAAGTTGGAGGTATTACAGTATTCTTGATGCTTGCCTTTTTCAGTATGCAGTCACCCAAAATACTCTGCATTTACTGCTGTGTTATTGTAAAGCAGCAGCAGAAAAGCCTTATCTTGAAAGATGCGTCTTTTGCTGAGGAGTCAAATTCATAAATAGCAACAATAAAAATGTCACTTTGACAGTGTGATTTTAGAATGGGTTAGTTCTAGAACTATTATCTAATGTGTCTATACTAAATGTATCAATTTCCTGTGAATTTGTCAGGTATTACTTTTGAGTGTAAGCTATCAGGAACATTATAATCTCACAAATACTAATATATGTGCACAGGTGTTGTGTGTATGTGTGTGGGAGAAATGGCAATCACGGTTTTGGGTGCATATGCAAATTGATCATTTAGCTTTTGGAACTGCTTTAAAAGCTTCCATAATAGCCCTAGTATGGTTTGGTTATTGACTGTTAATACTGTAGTGTTTATCAGATGTGGATCCTTAGTTCTTCTCTGACTTTTTTTTTTTTTAATATCTTGATTACAGACTTTTGGCTCCCAAATGTGAAATAATTCAGGAGTTGTCACAATTGTACCCTTTTGAGCTGGTGCTGGGAATGAATGGAAGAATATGGGTAAAAGCAAAAACAGTTCAACAGACTTTAATTATAGTAAACATTTTGGAAGCCTGTGAGTATATGACAGCAGAACAGAGAAAACAAGCACTTGCCAAACTGTCAGGAACTTGACTGAAGAAACCCATGAGGTTTTGTTTCAGATAACTGTAGGGCGAGCTATTTTTGTATTCAGCTTTATATTAAAATCATTTTTTTTAAATGAAGTCCTAGACTTACATTGTCGTCATTCTCTAGCTCCTTTCTTTATTCCCACACCCTGTTCTGCCTTATTTAGGAACTTTGTTTTTATCAGCTTTTGTAATTATGAAACCTTGTTTATAGTTATGTTTTTTGACTGTTGTGGAGACAGTTTCTAAAAGCTTCCAATAATTCTGAGTTTTGAGGAGTAACTTCCCCATCAGGGAAGGTAGTTGTTCATAGAAATTAACCATTACTGCTCATGGAGAAGCAGTGTATGCCAGTCCTGTAGGTGCACCATGTTTCATAACTCTTAATAAACTGAATAGCTTGCTGGTTAATAATAATAATTAAGTTAGGAAAAGGGATACAATTAGAGTAAGCCTAAGTACTGTGTTTATTCCAAGAGGAAAGAAAACTCTCCCCAGTTACGCAGTTACAACACTCACATTGTTGCATCCTAAGTTCAGCCCATGGAATTTGACTACTGTTTTCTTTGGCATCTCACTCGCATAGAAATTGGTTCAACAAAGAGTCACTCTTCTGACTCATCTTTAATAGGCTTACCTAGGGCTTCCCCTGATTCAAGAAAAACACAACTAGTTTCCATACAGACCTAATGATTCTCATCAGGATTCTCTGAGGGAGAGAATAGGCGCTTACCACTTTATGCCTATCATTTAGGCACGCCTCATCAGGCTTTGTAGACCCTCAGATGTCTCCTTTTATTTYCAGCTGTCCCCTCTCCTCCTAACTGAGGTGTTCTTCATTCATTTTCCATAAATCTTTTTAGGCCTATAATCTCTCACAGCACACAGAGAAAAGAGGCTGTAATTTAATAGGGATTTCACTAGCCTTGCTATTTATTCTCTGGTGCTTTCTAAACTTTAGCCAAAGCTCTCGTAGTTTCTATACCATTAAAAAAGGGCAGACCTTTTAATAAAAAAAAAATGAGTCATRCTTCAGGGGATTAGTTTTTCTGTTTTCTGTGAATGCTCTTGGGTCACATTTTATTTTTATTCTAAATCAACAATGAAATGGATTACATTCTAAACCTCTCTCACTTTAACCTAAGTTGCCTTCCTTGCTTCTGAAAAATCTGAATTTTAAATGTACTCAYGGGATAAATACAAAACCACCAATTTTAAAATGCTGCTATGGTAGCCCAGCATAGTAAATGGTGATTTTGAAAGTTTTCAACATTTAGTGCCCTATTTCACACCACTAATAATTCTCTCCACTGCCAACTGCTCATTGCCCACATAGAACCTTAATTAATAGTAGTAAACAAAAATACCTTTTAAATTTGATGTGAAGGAGGATGTGAACAAAATGGATGTGGGGAAAAAGGCTTTATGGCAAATGTATTTAAGCAGATTGTTAAAAGTGGGCAGTGCTGACATTTATTTACTCTGGCTGGAGAAAACTACCTTCCTGCAGGCTTTGACAAGCTTTACTGTACCAAGAAAATATTCGGGCAAAACCTACGCTGTTTTTATGATAACTTCACGTTGTGGCACATGCTGGCAGCAAAAAGAGTGACAGACTGATTGGGTTCTAGGATGAAAGCTTGATGGTGAATTGATTACAGCTGCTAATGAAGATTCTGTTGTGGGAAGTCCCGTGTGCTCCCACTGAAGGCACAAAAGTCCATGTGTTTCAGGAAATGGAGCTTGCAGAACTGATGCTGTCGACTTCAAAGTATCTTACTGGATTGAGTCACTTTTTGTAATGTATTTGCACAAAATACTTCCTTTTACATGTATATCATCACATTGACATTCCCTTAACAGACCCAATGATTGTGCATTGGGTGTTCTGTTACATGCTTTTCTCTGAAGCTGTCATGACGGAAGCTAACAATAGAAAAAAAAAATTGTAAATATCAAAATGGAAACAGCCTGTGTTCCCAAAGATGAGCACCACCCCTTAAAAAGAGGCTGGCGGACAACAAAATGGAAATCTTACATTGGAAATAGGAAATACAGGTTATGATCTTGCTTAGGCTGATGTTTTTATTATAAAGACAAAGAGTAAATGCAAACATAAAGTACAGACATGTGGAATAGGAACAAAAAGTGTGATAGTAAAGCATTTGTATTTTAGCTAAAGAATGTTGCACAGAAATACTCTTCATTGTAATAAGATTAAGTTTTAGGCTGTGGTCAAGGTTTGGCTGTAACTCTGCTGGAGGAAAAGTTTATTATGCCCAGCTCTTCATTACCACTGGAAGTTACAACTGAGGTTTCTGCCAGAATTGCATGTGTATTTGGTTCCTAACCAAGCTCTGTCACAATGATCCAGATCAGCTTCGACAGTTTTGATTATGTAGTTTTGTTTATTTAACCCAGATTTTTTAGCAGAAGAGGTTATGGAATATTTTGCTCAGATTTCAGATTTTAAGAGCAGCTGATGTRCTCCTAGAAAAGGCTAAATTTCTTAGAGAATTTCCCGTGCTTCTCCTTAGTGCGTAAACGCTTCATTCTGAGGAATAGCTAAATTGCCTGGTGTTCAGCAGGCTATTKTAAGTCTAATAATTTAGCCACCTCCAGGAATGGCTTTGCATGTAATGTTTTTAAAATGTACTTATACCAGGATTGCTACCCATGTGCAACAGCTTGATGGGATTTTCTCACTGATTCAGTATAGAAATTAGCTAGCTTAAAGATAATGTAGGGCACCTTATTTCAGCTGTGCTAGCAATACAAGCAGCGTTGTGCTTATTAAGGACTTCAATAGATGGCAGGATGCAAAGCTACTCTACAGAGGTTTATAGCAAGGAATTAAACCTGTCAGCATTGCCCCAGAAACTGTAAAGGAAAAGAACCACAAAACACTTTGGGCCAGGATTGTAGTAAGAACTACTTAGCATCTGTGGGCAGTTAACCAGGACTGTTACCAGAGTGACTATTTTCTCTTGATAAACTGTTCTCTCAAAAGTACAGTGCTGCTGCCTTGCCACTGCCATGGCATTTGGGGATGCTCAGAAGCCATTTTGCTTGTGGCGCTTCATAGCACTGGGCAAGAATAGCCTTTTGTAACTCCTCTTACAAGGCCTCGATRTTTTACCTGCCGTGAGAAAAAAGGCATAAATTCCACCATTCCTTACTGCTGCATTATATAACCTTTGTTTTATAAAGGCGATAGGAGTTCAAAGCAGAGCCTGGCCTAAAGATTTTGAAGCCAGAAGCACACGAAAAGCCTGATGACCTTATCAGTTCTTTGCAAAGCTTTGGTTACCTCTTGCATTGTGTTAATTAGAGGCTTTTCTGTGGTTCCRAGTGTTTATTAGACTACTGCCAAAAGAGCTCTATTCCAGCAAAGAAGATTTACTAATTCTTTGTTTCCTGTTCCTGCCTAGATGGAGGGTTTTGCACCAGTCTGTTCTGGATGTTTCTCTGTGAACTGCTCTTGTGGCTGAAATTCAAAATACCCTTTGGTTTATTCAGTGACTACTACACCCTGGTCTTACTTAGGATAAATCTAAAATCCTGTGTCCAGGATGTCTGCAGACAGACTGGTGCTTTTAATTCCTGAGAGTTGAGATGGGGTTGAACACAAGATACTGTGCTGTGAATGCCTACAGCCATGTGGCTTCCAAAGAGCAAGTGCCTTTTGCTGGTCTCTTTGAAACAAACCTAGGTCAGTCTGCCTCTCAGGCATATTTCTAGAAGCAAATGACATGGAAAATTCAAGCTGTATTTTCTGTCTTCATGCATCCAGTCTTACTGGCACAATACAGAAAAGTTATGTGTCTAACAATCCCCCTGATCTAAAGCTGATCTATGGAAACGTGATCCAACAAGAAGCAGAAATAATTAACTTCTGAAGTAACATGCAGGTTTGTCACTGTATGGGAATTGAAAGTTTCGTAAGACTAGAATCTTGTTTTAGCACAGATACTGATACAGTGCATGCGGGGTGAATTATGCACTGGCATGCTACAGAAATTTAATTACCTGATAAACAAACCTTTTGTGGAATTATGCTCTGCTTTATAGCTGCTCTGTAACTGAATTATGAAAGCAGGATGATAAAGGCTCAAAGTGCTTTTAAAATGCACTATTAAAAGCCTGAGAACTGCCTGTTGCTCTGTGAAATATATTTTAGTGTGTGACAGGGACTTTATTACTCCCTTTTTCAGGAGGCAGGGTGTGTGAATAACAGACTTGAGTAGGTGAGAAAGAAACAATATTCTAAAATGTATTTTTCCCTGAAGGGAAAAACAAATATTTTAACTTCCTGTTCAACTTTCCTGCCAAAATCTCCCTACCTTTCTGAAGGACTGACCGCAGTGGCAGGCTGATGAAGTCAGACTAATTGCTGCTTGGACTCCACTCACAACCCAGTAGGTTTTAATGGAAAGTAAACCTCTACTGAGAGGTTTGCTTCCAGTATTTTCATGATGCATTTTTTCTTAAGAGTTCTGTGTCTGTTAAATTTGAGCATGCATTCAAGGGATTTCTCTGCCTTATAAAATAAAATATTCTTGGATGAGATCGATGTGTGGGCTCACATTTTTCTGCATAAAGTTTTCTTGTTACTGCATAAAGTTTTCTTGTTGAAGTCAGAACAACTTCACAGCTCATTGTTCTTGCCTGATGCCTTGTAACACGCTCCTGGTAAGAAAAGGGAAATAATAACAATAAAATCTTTTCATCTTGTGATAATTTTCTCTCCGAAGAACACTGGCTACTCTCATATTTTGAAGCCCTACATAGTAGAGGGCTGCTGCCTGATAGTTCGGGCTGTAATGTGCAGAAATGTCATTAAGAAAAAGGTTTAGTTTTTTTCTTTTGTGCGCTCACCATGGCAACAAAAGTAATGGAGCTACAATCTGCCACTGCCAACCCTTGACAGCCAAAATAAAACCATTGTAAAAATCAGAAGAAAGGAATGCAGCCAGCCTGCAGAAATTGTTTTAATTGCATGATGGTGGTGGGTGACAACATTTGCCAATCTCACGTTACTGCCATAATGTTTTGGGTAGAATTGCTATGTCACAGTGGCAGAGATGTGTCTATTTTCATGCTGGCTGTGCTTCAAAGCAGTRGGCCAGCTCCTCCACGGAGCCTGGGAATGCTGCTACTGCCTCCCGGTTCCTCGGGTGCTTTTCTGAGTGAGGTCAACCGTGTGTGACCGCAGCGCTTCCCCGCACAGCAAGCGGGGCTTGTTAACCCCCTACGCTGGRCTCCTCGCTGCTTCCCAACAGCAGTGGCAGCCGCTTGAGCTTCTTGCGCCCTTCAGCAGGAGGTTAAGCTGCGTGCTGAACGCACGGGGCCTCTTCAGGAGCCTGGAGCCCTCCGAGGGTAAACGAGGCAGGTGGCTGGTTGCYGCAGGCTGGAGGGAGCGCGGCAGGGCTGCCTGGGCTGCACGCTCCGTGCYGCCCCTGCTTCGGCTCGCGAGGCCTCCAGGGCCCTTACAGGCAGGTCTGGCGCGGGCGCAGCGGGAGCTGCTGGGCAGCCTGCGCCCGCGGGGATTCTCCTTTCCAATCCCGCATGGAACGGGGCAGTGGGAAGGCGCCCCGGGGCWGCACGGGCAATTCTTTGAGTTTCCCCTCGCCCACCGGGTGCAGCCAAAAGGCGCCCTCGCTCAGCGCTGCCGTGACACGTTATTGGCTGCTTCGCCCGAGCAAGTGTGTTCTTGACTGCCTTAATTAACGCGTTTGCAAGTGCCTGCCGCTAATCACGCACCGCGGGTGACAGCCGCCGCGATCCCGCCCTCAGCCCGGCGCGTCTGCCGCCTTAAACCGATATAAAGGCAGGGCCTGCGCGGGGCCGCCTCTGCGCGGCCCGGGCCCGTCCCCCTCCGTCCCGCAGGGCCCCGGATCCCGCCGGCGTCGCCGCCGAGGGGCCCGGCGGGTGCAGAGCGCGGCGGCGGCCGCGGGGCCGCGGGGCACAACGCAACGCGGCGCTGTGAGTGCGGGCGCGGGGGCGCAACGCGGCGCTGCGAGTGCGGCCGGGGCGCTGCGCCCTCCTTGCGGGGGGAGGCTTGGAGCCGACCTGGGTTTTGGAGCCTGCGGGAGGTCCCCGGGGGCGCCCGGGTTGCGGGGCTGGTTTCTGATCGCTAGGGCGTTTGTGGTGTCCTCTTTCTTGCTGGTGCCCTCTTGCTTGTGCGTCTCCGCAGGTGGCTGCGGTGTGTGACTTGCCGGCCTCGGTCCCCACAGCAGCCTCCCATGCGGACTTTGTGCGTTTCTGTGCTTCCTGCCTCATGCACGGCTCTTTCCACACCTCTGGTGGGGCAGAGGTTTAAACTTTTCCAGGTACAGCCTTTGAAAGCTGATCTGAAAGCACATGCACAGTTGCAAGATCTCTGAGCTTTGTGCAAGCGCCTTTGCCCTCCCTCATTCAGAAGGGAAGGGCAACTGCAATGTTGGAATTCTTGAAAACTTCCTTGGAGTGGGGCAGGTCCTATGGTTTAACAGCAACTTTCCTGTATCCTCTCCAAGGAAGGAGTGTAGAAGCCTGCTTGAGACAGCAGCTTTCCCTAGAGCTAGAGCTGGGCACAGCCTGGCACCGACTTAAGTAGTGAAAGCACATGCAGATTTGGAACAAAATAGATGACCCTTGTTCTCAACAGAAGGGGTGATTGGTTGTGGAGTCTTTCTATGACCTCCCCTCCCCCCCCCAAAAAAGAGGAAAAAAAAAAAAAAACCTTTGTGCTGTGTGAGCTGCTTATATTCATGACTTCAAAACGGCTGGAAGTCTTCAGTATGGGCCTGTTGATTTTGTGGCATGACTGAGGTAGGGAGGGACTGCTGATGTTCTCGAGTCACATCTGCACTTAAAGCAGGGGAAACTTTGAAGGCAGCTCAGGACATTGCATTTCATTGCCCTGACGGGTATGTAAGGCCTCGTCACGTCTTGCTTTGTGTCACTAGATCGTTGTAAATATTCATTCAAAGAGATTTGTGAAGATACTTGTAATCTGATGACTCATTTCTGGAGGGGAATGTCTCATAAAATATAATCAGCTCAGTTTGCATTTTGGGATGCAGGTCGTGACAAAGCACTGTAAGACTTTTAGCCTCAATATGGAATGTCCTGGAGAAGTTGAAAGAGGGAGGAGAGAGARGGAAAGGGAAAGCAATGGTCAAAACCAACCAAAGAGTGAACATTTCAGGCTGGGGGCCGTGTGCTAGTGCCGTCCAGCTTGTGTGAGAGCCCACTGACTGTTCCCGCTTTTGCCCATGAGTATTCTTAGGAAAAACATAGAACCATCTCCGTGACTTTTATTGGCACTCAAAAACACAGACTTTCCAGCATTTTTTTTTTGACACAGCTGTGATGTCTCCTGTTTATACTGATAAAATAAATGTTTAAGGATAGCTATCCTCTTAATCACATTTTTTTTTTTTCTTTAGTTGTGCTTGGAAGAGAAATGAGACATCTACAAAACTGTGTTATACTTGATCTTCTTGACATGAAGTAGAGACCATCAAATGACATTTACAGAAGAATTAGACTAAACTTTTAAAAATACTGGTTAACTGAGTATTGATAAACCACAGAACAACTCCCTGACATCTTAGGGTCTTGCGATCGCCACAGAGAAAGCTTTTCCTGTATTTGTTTGCTGGTTGTGTTTTTTTTTTTTTCCTTTTTTCTTTTCTTTCTTCTCCCAGCTTGTTCTCTGTGAAGGGGAGTGTTCACTCACGTCTGGAGGTTTGAATGAGTGGAGATTTTAGCAGGTTTGAGAGCTTGCAAATCTGGGAGTCCCTGAAAAAATCATGCCCTTTAGTGAAAGGTGTCATTAGTAAAGCTGATAAATTACCATATAAACACTGGGTTAATCTAACCAGTCTCACCAGTTCTCTGGTGACAAGAGACAGAAACAGTTCTCTAATTGGAAGCTGTTTTCCAACATTGTGATGACTCCTTAATTGTTTCCAGGATTGTGTGTGTTGTTTTTGCATTCAGTGTGAGAGGCTTAGAAGTACAATGGACTGAAACATGGGGAAAATGCTAATTATAAAAATGTATAAGACACACAGAAGTTAAGGTTTACTGCCATGTTCTCAACTACGTGGATGGTTTCCATAGTTTCTGCTCATTACACCCCAGCATAGAGGGTAACCATGTGTTTAACTAAAAAGAGAAAAAAAAAGTTGACTAATTAAGCATTTAAATGAATATGTAAATGTTTAAGGCAGTGCAGCAGTGGATTGGGTGGCAGCTTGTTGATGACGCCCCTGCAGGGAGAGCGTGGCACAAACTGCAGCGCTCTGAGAGGCTGCGAGTTGCGACACCGGCCTCCTGCCCGGCCGGCCGCGCTCCCCATCGCGCACTCGGACACGGCCCGGGRCGGACACGGGCCCCGGCTCCATGGGCGCTGGTGAGTGCGCCGAGCCAAGCGGCGGGCGCTGCTGGGGTGCTGGGTCCTGTTGTTCCTTGTGGAYGTATCGCTTGGGGTTTAAAAATTCCGGGGTGCTGATGAGAAAGCAGTAGKGCTGGTGTTTAAAGGAGGCATGGCAGTGTTGGTGTTTAAAGGAGGGGCGTAGAGGCTTTCTGTTTGTTTTYGGAGCTTCAAGTTGCATTAATAGACTGCCCCTAAGAAGAAATGAAGCCGCCTGTTGCAAATGCTCTGCTGGATTCTCTATAGTCTCTTTGCTTGCATTTCAGTGAACCAGCAGTGCCTGCGCTCAGCTTGGGTTGCAAGTGAGTGTTTGAATAATCCTGGCGGTTGTTTCCCACGTGGATTATTCAGAGTGGCTCCTTATATGGTTATTGCTTAGCAGGGGGGCATTTCAGTACYCTCCTTCAGAACTGCCTTTTTTAATGTCCCTGTGTATTTAGTAGCTGAGCAGGCACAAGCCTTGGAGCTGTTTTCTGTCACTGAGCAGAAAGCAAAGAATCCAGTTACGCTGAAGAGCCCTGTTGACTGAGTTTAGTGATCTCTATCAACACTAAAATGGAGTGGGGCGAGAAATATTGCAGTGACGTTGGCCTGCAGCAATGCCAATAACAGTAGTAAGAGCTACGTGAGAACTTGCTCACTAATCAGTCAAAAAATTTGGAAGACCTTCTAAGTGCACGGAACTGCACAAAGGATTAGCACTTGGTTTTGTCCCCTGGCTCTTCTCCTCCCTTTCCCCTCGCAACTAAGAATTCAGAGAAAAACAGGTCTGGACCAGACAAGAGTCAAGCCCAAAGAATAGCTGCATAATAGCTGGAAGGGCTGGGAGGGAACAGGGCGATAGCCCTCAGGTATGTCGGGGACATTTCAAGTGTTAGTGCTGCATTACCCCAATAAATTTTGAGTTATGTCTTGGTCGTTACAAAGGTTGGCGTCAGGATGGCCTCTGGTACGAGTTAGAACGAAGTATCAAAGAGTTCTCACTGCAMTGTGATGTTGTGTTTAGAAAGTATGTAGAGAAAGCAGATAATGACAAGGAATGTCCCTGTGTTAGAGACAGGCAAGGAAACGGGGTAGATTCTCTTATCTGCATTATTATTACGCATGTTTCCTGCTCAAGTTCTTGGATTATGTGTGTTTCCAGATAACTAAGCTACTGTGTTGCTACTTTTGAACATGGAAGKGGAAAGGGATTTCTTCCCTCAAAGTTTTGGCCGGTGTGGCTCTGACATCTGATCTAGTTCTGGTTGGTTCGTTCTTTTCTTTATAACCGCAGCTGCTTGTGAGGATGAAGAGTGGCAGTGTCCAGGGTTTGCTGTCAGGTGCAGTTCAAATAAGTTACATTTTTCCTGTGTGTGTATATATAGAGGAAAAATTCTTTCTTGTGCAAAAGTATACGCAGATGGCAATAGCTGCCAAAACAGCATATCAAGGAGCAGAATTTTGCATGTGGCTCTAGAAAAAAAATCAATTCTTCATGTTGCTTAAGCTGGAGGTGGAACTACTTCACAAATCTATAACCCTTTGTAACACATAACTGTTGTGCTGTAAATGCACAGTGATTTTTTTTTTTAACTGTGCAAACATTGGTGACTTTTATAGCAAATATTGCTTACAGTTGGGTCTTGAAATTTGCCCATGCTGCAGGGCCAAGCTTGCTTTCCTGCATCCTCAGAAGTGATACTATCTCACAGGAATGTGGCTGTCAGCCCTCTCAGGGCTTGTGAAACATGCRCAAGGGTCAAGATAGGCCTTTGGGAGCTTTCTTGGAGTAGCGGGCCTAGTCGTTAATAAAACTGCTACCAAACGTGGGGCACTAACAAGTGATGGGAGCCACCACGTGTAATATCTTTCATTGCAACATTGCTTGTTGTTATTGACTCCTGGGTGTGAGTTCAAGTGGTTTGTTCCTGATGTGATTTCTGAAAAGAAAATGCGTTAGTAAAAATAGAAACCAACTGTTTTTTTTTTAGGAGTTGCTGTCCAGGATGTCTGTAATGTTGGGTTGCTGTGCCTAATAATGTCAGCTTGGTGAAAAGCCTGTTATTTCTGCCTGTGGGGATGGATGCTGCTCAGTTGTTGGCTCTGTACTGTCTTGTTTATAATGTGGAGTTGTAAGAAAAAATATTGCCTGTTACACTAATATATTTATTTACGTATAATTATGGGGGGGGGGAGAGAGAAGCCAAAATCTGAGTCTCTGTGTGTATATATGGGTTTTTAAAGTCTTCTGCTGTGTATTTGTAAAATTCACTGTATACCTCAACTGAGAAAGAAACTCTTTTACTCTGCAGATACATTTTTAAAGAATTCATTTTTTTTAGTGTAATTTGATTTAATAATAAAACCTTGTTATGGTTTGTATTTTAATGCATAGACTTCTATCCCCTTCCACACCATTGTATTTGAGCACTTAAGTCATGAATGTTTTTATCAGTGCAGTAGCAGGTATCTTGTGATATCTTGATGTAGCTCAGGAGCAGAACTGAAATGAAATGGACATCTTTTCCCAGCTCCCAGTTCAGTGCAGAAGTTTGCAGAACATCTGCAGTGAACCCAACAAGGTCCATTTCCTGTGTGGATTTAAACCAATTCCTTCTTGTCTACCTCCAAACCCGCTCTGTAGTCTGAGCTGCGTTTTTCTTTTACTTTGCAGAAATGTCCTTCGTGTCTGACACTGGGCTCTTCACTATGGGCATGTGGTCTGTTGGCCTTGGAGCAATCGGTGCAGCTGTAACAGGCATCGTCCTTGCTAACACCGACTTGTTTTTGTCCAAGCCAGAGAAGGCTACGCTGGAATTCTTAGAGGAGATAGAACTAAAAACTTTGGAACCAGGTAAGGTTCTGGACATTTGAGCCCTCCTTTGATGATTGCATTTGTTTAAGAACTTTTCTAAGAGCAGAGTTGGAAACTCTAAGGAAGTATGTTTAGACAGGTTATTTTTTCCCTACGTGAGGGTTATCTGTAAAGGAGACAATTTTGTGTGGGTCACACTGGTTGTCTCAAGGGTTTATCTTAGTGTTTCCAGTTATAGGAAGTAGTTAGGTATCCTTGGTAGGAGATATTTCTGGTAAAGGAAAAGCTGCTAATACTGTCATTTCTGGAAGATCTATTTTTAAATAGAAATATAATTGTAAAAAGGAGCACTCTGTTATAATAGCACTATGTAAATGTGGAATGCTCTGCAATGCTTTGTGTTCATCTCCTTAAAGGATTAATCACTGTAAGCAAGAGTGGCTGGTATTATTTTTAATGCCATTTCTCTCATATAAGCAGAACAAAGAACATTCAAAGCTGGTGAACTATGGAAGAAGAATGGTGCAGTGATCATGGCTGTGCGAAGACCTGGATGATTTTTGTGCAGAGAGGTACTTGGGCTTGGGGATTAAGCAGGAAGAGCTGAATTCTACTCACATTGTTCACCTTAAAGGCAGGTGGCAACTGGGACATTCATCAAATACATTGGAGATATCTGAAAGTTCTTGTTTTCTAGTCCAAACTGGATTCCAGCTCACAACCTACTTAGTTTTAGTTTTTTCTTTGCAGCTGGTCTAGGTCCAGAGCCTTTTCCTACTGAGAACATTGATATCTGAACTTTACATCTGCCAGGGCTTTTTACGTCTGCCCAGGTAATTTGGGGTAGGGACTACCCAGTTCAGATTGATGGTGCTTGGTGTAACTTAGTTGTTCCACGTGTTCAGAATAAAACTCTGTGAGCTGGGTAGTCTCTGGTCAAAAGTAGCCCACATTTAGCTTGGCAGAAATCCAACAGACAAAGCTTATCTGCAAAACTCTGCAGGGAGCATAAAGGAGCATAAAGCAGTGTCCCTTGCTCTTCTGGATGCTTGATTGGAGGCAGGAGTGTGAGAAATTAGAAGTCAAGGAGAATGTGTTACATAAAATCACTGTTTCCTCACAGACAGTCTCTTCAAACTGTTCCTGCTCCATCACAAGGCAGGTTGGAAAACAAAGCTTGATCCTTAAGTTGTTATTGGGGTTCTTGAGTGTACGTGGGAAGAGACACTTAAAAGTATGATTTGAATGTTAAAGGTTTCCAAGACCAGCACCGTAATTTGCACCTTAACTTTTCTTTTAATATAGCTATGGGGGAAAAGTAGCTATTATCTTGTTGTTCACTACTCTACAATGTGGAGTAATATTGTAGTCAGTTAAGTAATCTGTTCCTATCAGTAATAATTCCATAAGTATGTGTAAAGCCCATGGAAGGTGCAAGATTAAAGTTCTCTGCTTATTTGAACAGGAATAGCATAGACAGGAAGAGAATGTGCTACCAACCCATCTGACTGCAGACAGGAAACACCATCCAAAAAAAAAAAGGGGGACAAATTTGTAGTTAAAACCCTTTAGAAAAGATCATAAAGCATTTTGTTCAGGAGAATAGGGGAGAGAAAAATGAGAAGAAAAAAAATTTAGCATATCTATATGAATAGAAGGGAAAGATCTGTTAAGCTATGATGCTTGAAGGCTCGTGCTTGCTTGAAGCAGCCACTACTCAGTGCTTGCTTATGATGGTGATTCATACTTTTCCATATCCTCTAGAAACGTCACCGATTTTGGAATGCAGCTTTTACCCTTTCACCTATTGATGACTTTCTCTAATGGCCTCTCACCCGTTACCCGCTATGTGTCACTGCCCGTCCTCAGTCAATTCTAGATGCATGGCAAGCCCTTGTGAAGGCATTTCCCTGCCCGACTGGTGTTTGTGCATGGCATTTGCATAAACTGTGTCCTTTTTTGTGTGCCTGTGGTGCTCCCTGAGGGGAATTCTCTCCAGTTAAAAATGGCCTCCCTCCATTTAAGGTGAGAAGAAACATATTTACCATGGCCAGTCTTTGATTTATTTATTCAGTACCTGTGGGTACTGAAGACATATAACRAATTTTTTTGATCATTTTCACGGGGCAATCTTGGAAGGAAAATGCATCTTCATTCCTGTATCTCTTGTATAGTGTGCTGTGGCATAAAGCCCTCAATGCTTTGCAAAGAGGCTGATAATGATGTATTTTTGCTTGGGGGCGGGGGGCCAGCGGGTTGGGATGTGGAATTGTAGCCTGGCAAAGTGCCAAGTTAAATGATATGCAGGCAGTATCTCTCACTGTCCTGTAAATACTTAAAATTGAAAGCCCAGCACAGGCAAGATAAATTGAGCTTTGAGTTAGAACTACAATTTCTCCACAATTTCTCTAGGATTTTACTGTTATCAAGTAAGTGCTCAAAAAATCTTCTTTCTCTCTGTCTCTGCAAATAAAGAAAATTCCAGCAAACCTGATGAAGGTCTGTCTAGGAGCAGAACTAGGTTGAATATCTGATTTACACTTCTTTTGCATTTGTTTTGCACCTCACACTTRCATATATTTCTGACACTCTGAAATTCAAGGTGGCGCTTTCAGTTTCTGTCCATTGACTGACATATATATATATATTTTTTTCTCCTGTCTCAGGAGGCTTCCGAGCTCTCCTCTCTGAAACCTCRGCTTTCCAAGCTGGGTGTCCCTCTCTATGCTGTTGTGAAAGAGAAGATAGGGACTGAAGTGGAGGATTTTCAGCATTATTTCAAAGGAGAAATCTTTCTGGATGAAAAGGTATCATGAAGTCAGTGTTCCATATCTTTCTGTGTAAAAATAAGTAAAATTAGAAAAGCTTATGGATGCTCTCTTTGAAGAGCTTGTGTAATATAGATAGAGTGTGGTCCAAATGGAACAGGATTTAGTAGCATTGTTAAGAAGTTAATAAGCTTTGCTTTTCTATATTTATATATCATATATGGCTTACAAGCAATTCTGTAGCCATGTGCTGATAACATGTTGCCGCAGGATTATTCTTCCCCTCCCCTTTAATAGGTWAACAGTGTGACTTCTTAATAGGTATTCCTTGCTTCCACTGGCAGTGTGACTTGCTGGTGTTTATGATGTGTGTCTAACGATGAAGGTGTAATTGGTTCATCATGTACAGCCCAAATTGCAGTGCTGTGGCTTGTCCCACAAAATCTTGGGCCTGCTCCAATCCTTATATTAGAAGGGAGGTTTAGAAATTATTAGGCTTCTGAGGGAAAAAGAGTATCTAATATTTAAAAGCAGTTGGAAAGAACTTTGTTTTCTGTCCCTGCCCTGCATGTTTGAAAGAATACAATACTAGCATAGATAAAGATGAGTTTATTTAAAAATGTGTTCCACCAATGTCATGGAACATTGTGGCTGTGCAGAAAGTGAGTTGTCCTGTAGTGTGTTAGAGATCTGTTCAGATGCAGTTTATTTTTAGCTGTTTGCCTATTTGCTTTCCTTTGTTGAAACCCTTCTTGGATATGGGGTTTGCTGGTTTCGTGAATTTAATTTGTGAKGGAAAAGTCTTTTTAATTGGCTTTGTTTGCTTGCTGAGATTTTCCTGTTTCACTGCAGAAAGGCTTCTATGGCCCTCGCAGGCGAAAAATGATGATGTCCGGCTTCTTCCGCTTTGGAGTCTGGCAGAATTTCTTCCGTGCTTGGAGAAATGGATTTAGCGGTAACCTGGAAGGAGAAGGATTCACGCTGGGAGGAGTATATGTGATTGGGGCAGGAAGACAGGTACTGCAGGCCTTTTAAAAGCCTTTCATGTTTCCCGAGAGCCCAAAGGCAGCTTTGGTGTTGTTCAGTTATTGATCATTTGAACTCCTCCTGCTGTGGAGAGATACTAAGATCAGTGAATAAATTTCCTTCTTTTTGTCTCCGACTAGGGTGTGATACTGGAGCATCGTGAGAAGGAATTTGGAGACAAAGTCCGCCTTCCATCTGTTCTTGAAGCTGCTGAGAAGATAAAACCACAAGCTTCATAAGCTGGAAAATAGTTGCATATGTTTCTGATTGCAGCTTGAAATGTAGAGCGTATCTGCATCTTGAACGTGCAATTTAATTGCTGCTTAACTATTTAGTCATCAATGCAGTGGAAAGATTCTCCATTAAAATGTAATAACTAATGAAAACCCTCATGGATTTTTTTTCTCCCCTTCAGGTGGTCAGGATTTCAACTTGTCTTTTGGATCTGACTGTATTAATGAAAGGCTGGGTCTAAAATCTGATGTAGCCTAGATGTTTTCAGTTAGAGACAATCAGTCGAAACTTGTCTATCTAGGGGAACAAAACACTGTTAAAGCGAGTAACTGAGTATCAACTGAGGTCAAAGGATAATAAAGACTTATGTAAATGAAAAGTTGTTGCTTTTCACTTGTTTGTGAACCTGTAAATGCATCTATTTCCAGGAAACTGAATTCTGACAGCCTAGATTATTCTGAGATTCTGCACTGTATCCACCCAGTAAGTTTCGTGGTAGTTAAGTTTTAGCTCTGGGTTTTCAGTTCTTTTTGTGATTCTCTGTAACGAAGATTAAAGACTTCTGAGGTTGACTGAAAATGTAATTGTGATATCAAGGTGAGTTACTTTTGTGTGGTAAGATTGTAAAAGCAAGGGGAACAATATGAGAGAGCATAGAAGGCTTAATTTCTTTAATAGAGTGGCTGGGGTGTTGCTTCCAGAAACATACGGAGTGTTGCACAACAGGATCCTTGAGAACCATTGCAGACACAACCAGATATATATATATGTAGATTGAAGTGTTAAAATTGTTAGTATAAAAACATTGAAGGACAGCATGAGTTTTGCAAATGTGCTGCTGTTTCTAAATGTAATTTTAAAATTGTGCTTGTTTAAATTGGGGCAAATTATCAAGTGACCCAGCACATACCTCAGTAGTTGAGGAATAGCATATGAAAAGCTTGGTGTCTTTGGGAAAATGCCAGCGGTAGACTACATTGAGCTAGCAAAACCATTAAGCTAGAATTAGAATTCTGTACTGGCAGAAGATCAGACCAAGCAGCTATTCTGTTTTCTTATGGGTTTAAAAAAGACAACTTTTTGACTACGGCCAGTCTTCTTGCAGTGACAAAATCTACACACATTTGTGTCTCTTCCCACCTTTGCCTTAGAAAATTCAACTAGATACTTGTATGTTTTTGCTCAAATATACTGATGCTCTGTAGTATAGCTGCTTGACTGTTGTGGTGTTACATAAAGGTATCTGATGTGGCAAACTATAAACCGTAAGAATGCATTAGATTGCTGTGTATGCGCAAATATAAAGACAATTTTTCCTATTGGAGAGGTATGCCATTTTAATGAGCAGCATTCTTCCCCACCATCTGTTTGTAGTTATTTTTTTTTCCCCTCTGAAAAACGAAGAGGCTTTGTTCCAATATTTCTAGGTGAGACATCTTAAATCAGCTATGGTTTCCCCCCACCTGGTTTGGGGGCTAAATGCAATAAGAGTTTGTATAGTGTTCCTAGTTTTTAAGTTCCTGGTGTTTGTAATGATGTCCAGAAAAGCCACTGGGTGCTTAGAGGTACAAAATGCCTGAGTGGAATTGGACTTCTTTGAGTTCCAGAAACGACAGCTACCAAGAGTTCATTCCAAGRAATAAGGGTCTGAGGGCTTTTGTCCTCATCAGGGTCCCATGATTGAAAGGAAATGTCCATGTCATGAGGCCTTGCTTGATGACTAGCTCCCAAAACTCTTCCTTTATGAAGCTATAATGTGTGAAACGTTATGTAAATGCCTGCTTGTTTGCAGCTGTCATATTGTGACTTGGAGTGCAAGTGGAGGGAAATGAGGTGCTGAAGGAAATGTCTGGGAGCTACTGTTTCTTATAGTTGCAAGCAGCTATTAATAAAATCTCATTTCTAAAGGGAGGAGATATGTGARTCACAGCTCCTGCTGAGTCATGAGATTTCTTTCTAGTAGGACCTAGAAGGTTTTGCCACTTGCAGAGCACAGCCCTTGCACAAAGACATTTGTAAAAATGTCTTTGCAAAGACATTTTGCTAAAAAAACTGCTCTCAGTGAAATCTGCATTTGTGGCCTTGTTTCAAGGGCTGTTTACGCATTTCACAAACATGAAATGTGAAATGCAGAAACAGTCCTTGGTGCATGGAAGTCCCATGAATTTTAAGAAATTTAGGATAAAATGAAGTGCTGTTATAACTTAGTAAATCTTGAAAGCACCCCCTCCAAGGGGAGGGTTTCTGACATTATGGTTTTTCTGTGTGCAATTGGCTTCTATCTGGTCTGACTGAATTGGCTTCTGGTTCTCTTAAATCAGCCTGCTGAAGATCTAAGATAAGGTTACCATGGCCACTTAAAGCAGTAATGGTTTTATCAAGGGTTTTGTTACCCTGGAAATAGAGGCAGGAAGCCATTGTACCCAGCATTTTAATGCTTCAACAAAGCTAAACCTACCTTTGGTGTAAAAACTTTTTTTTTTAAAGGCTCCTGAATTCATTTTGTGAAGTGTTTGTTAAAATACTTGTGAAGCCTGTGAGTTCTCTGTGCCCTGCCAGTTTCAGCAGTGGCAGCAATGGCACGTACGGGGCAACCACGTGAGACCCTGGGAACTGGGAGAGTGTGTTTTGTGACTGTTAACAGTGACAGTTCATGTAAACAGCTGCAGGAACAGTGTATTTCTTCCCAATTCTCGAGTTACATAAGCCAAACTTCAAAGTTTTGTTACCTGTCTTTCACAGATTAACTCAAAATTTGGAGCCACAAATTGTTAMAATAGCATTTTAAATATCAGAATTATTATTATTGATAATATGTTTTTTCAAGCTTACTTTTGRATGATTTGGAGTGGATTCACCCCCCTTTTGAACTCCATGTGAACAAATACAAGTAACGATGATGGAAAACTCTTAGGAACCATTAATAGAAATTTGAGATGTGMAGTCTTTAAGGGAATGAAAATGAAAAGTAGTAAATGAAAAATAAATGAACTCTGGATGAATATCAGTGCTGAGAATTACAAGGTTGGAAAGTACAAGATTGGAATTAGCTGGTTTAAGAAGGTATTTTCTACTTTAAAAGCAGAACATTCCTTAAAAATGTTTTAAGTTACTGACTTTTGATGTAGCAACAGCTACCTCTGCTGGCTCAGTTTCTTATAGTTAATAGTTATATACATTAATTTTTAAAATTCTTTTAACACAATATATTTGCAAAATCTTAACCATTCCAGAATTACATTAAAGACAACATCAAATTCAACACTCAGTTGGCTCGCAGAAGCTGCTTGAATTAAGCAGCTCTAATAATTGAAAGTTTGAGTATTCTGGGCTTCAGAGGAAAAATCAGCAACAAACTCCCTTACAGTCTTTTCTTTAAAATCAACTTTCTTCATAGCATTCTGTTCCTTTCTTCTTTTTTTGGGAGGGGGGGATGAAAACAAAGTTAAGAAAAAAATGGAAAATGCTGTGAAATCAGTGGACTAAATGTAATAGAGAAAGATGGTTTTTACTTGTCCTTTTAAAAATATAAATTGTTTCCTATCTGCACGGTCATTTAAAATGCATTAGAAAGATGGTCTGTCTCAGAGGGTGTTTTTATTTCCTCTCCTGCAATTTGTTTTACTGTGTAGATTATGCATTCCTGGTGCTGTTAAACTGCCTGCAAATTGTACCATTTGCAAATATCCATGGAGAGAAGAATRCCAAAGGGTCTGTGCCATTTTCCAAGTGTTTTCTGTGATGCATTTTGTTAGAAATAGAAAGAAATAGTTCATTTCTTTTATATCTGAACCACTGGATGGCATTACTTCCCCAGCCTAACTGAAGGCGGGTGGTATATCTGAGCTTTGTTCTGCAGTAAAAATTTTGTATAATGAAGATACCAGAAGCTGAACACTGTAGATTACTGCTAGCTTTCTCTAGCTTTTGGGAAAGGCATCTATTCCAGCAAATTTATTACTCTTGTGGATATTCACCTCCTTAAATTAAGAAAAGTAAAAATATGCTGTTTTCAATGGTACACTCTGTGATATATAAAGGAGTATGGTGGGGGAAAAAACATTAAACCCACTGTAATCCTCACTGATATTTTGATAATACTCCTTTTGGATACAGGCAGTACCTCAGTGGTTTCCTCTATTCTAAAAGCACTTCTGTCAGAAGCTTATTCGGGGGAGTAGAGAAGTGCAATGGCCGCTTCCTAACAGTAGAGGGAGCGAGGAAAATGGAGAAAATGTGCAAGTGTGATGAACTAAGTTAAATCACAGTTTCTAACTTAAAAAGAGGGGTCCAATCTAAATTTAGTTAATTCTAGAATATTCTATCTAAATGTATGCCTTTTTTTTTTTTTTCCCTAGCTGCTCTTGGCAGTTTTATAACAGTCTTTCCCAAAAAGCTTTAGCTTTCAATTAATTGCTTTAGTTGTACTGAGTTTGTAATATCTGAGACTGTTTAAAGTTCCTCATTAGCTTGTCTGGGCTTTTCATCCCCACACCTATATCTCTCTTAATCTCCACATGGTTAATTCCAAGAGTAACTTAAGATTTCCAGAAACCTTTCTGCATAAATAAGGATTTCCTCCACTGCAAGGTTGTGTTTGCTGCTGATAATGCTATCAAATATACAGTGGAATTAGTGAATAGCTGTGAACTTGGCACTTTTCATTACTACTYATTAATTTCAGGAAATGTTTTGTAATGGCCAGAGGAAACAGCAGTGACAAATTATGAACTTAGGCCTGTACAAGTTCATTCAAAATCAAATTTTCCATTTTTGCTTTTGCAGTACCATTACACTCTTTAACTGCTGAAGTGACTATCTTTAAATCACTTGCTCTCACACTTACAATGTTTGTGTTTGTGATGGATGAGATTTTTACCCTAACTTCATTAGCATCAGTGAGGCATACAGAACAGAGATAGCGGCAGTGGCAAAGGTAAATAATTTGGAAATTTGCATGGAGATAGTTCGTTCCAGCCGTCTCCATTTTAACACTGAATACAATCAATTCAACTACTCTGTGAATTACTAACACAGACCATTTTGCAAGACTGTTTTAAACTGCAAGAGATCCCTAATCTACTGACTAGGTTATACCAAACTAGTACTTGGAATGTTGGTTGTGCTGGTGATGCACAGCCAGAGCAAGTTAATAAAGAAGGTGATAGTGGAGGCTTGTACACTTACTTTCCTACAGGGGAGCTACTCCCTAAGTCTGCAGTCCTTAAATCAACAAAACTGTCTCCCTTGCCAAATYGTAGACACTACTCTTGCATCCTTTGTCTTCTGTGACAGAAGGATATGACATCCTTCTGTCTCCTACAGAAAGAGCATCCTGGAGCTTTCTGCCTTGGCTCTGGCCTTCACTAGGGATGCAGCTCAATACTCTGATAGGTGATTGAAGCAGCAACTTCTGAGATAGAGTTAGCCCTTCTAGCTATTTTTACCACCTTAATACTTAAAGTGAAATTTCCTAGCTCCCCTTGCTTACTTATAGCCTGCTCCAAATTCAGATGCCTCTTCTAGCATCTTTTAGCTTCTTTCAGGTCTGCCAGTCAATTCATTTTTGTTTTGGCTTCTAAAAAGCCTTTAGCAAGCTCAGGAAGGCCTGCAAACAGAGGAGCCGAGGGGACCTGCTACAGGGCAACAATCTTCAGAACAAGATGTGTTTCTCCAGTCTCAAAGGAGATCTGCAAGAGTGTTGAGGGGCAAAGGAAGCTAGTGGAATCTAGCTGTGCTTGTGGAAATGTTCMGTCTTTCATGCCTTTGGTTTTACGCACTAGTGATGACGCTTGTGCATGACATTCACAAATGTAATCTCTTCCAATCATGAGATTGTGTCAGAATCTGAGCTTTGAAGAAGTAAACAAAACCTCTTTATTTACATTTCTTTTAACAATTGCAGGCAAAGATTAAGAAGGAATCTTGATAATGTGACCAGCGCGTGGCTGGTGCACTATCTATGCTATCTGTCTGCATCCACAAACCTCATCAAATAGATGTGAGGGAGGGAATTGTGCATTTATGGCACATTTATGGGGTATTTATTATTATTATTATTATTATTGTGTATTCTAAGCAGCACTGTTTTAGTTGTCAGCCTTCACCCAGTGGAGGATGATCACATATATGAAGCACTGAGCTCGCTTTATTCCCTCAACTATTCTCACCCTCTAGCCAAACTTTCAATGATACTGCGACCATCTCCACGAGGAGCTGCTGCTACTCATCTAGGAATGAAAAGTAAGCCTCAAATCTCTAGGCCTGTAACTGATGAAGTGTAGAGAGCACCAAAAGGGCTCTCACAATGCCTCTGGCCTTGGGCTACCCTCCTTAACTTTGCCTTACTGCACATAAACGTGCAGTAGTTTTCATAGTTAGTGAGACACTAAAGAAAATACTTTTTTGCTTTATAATTAAGGAATAGAAAGAGGCTAACGCAGGCCTTTCCTTGGCTTGTGATCAAAGTGATCATAAGACATAGAGGAGAAAGGAATGAGAAACTCAATAGAAACAGYGAGTTACTGGCTACACTGGAAACCAACTGGTGTACAAAGCATCATCCCTGATGAAMACTTTGTTTTCCTGTCCATGGCCATGGCTTTATAGCAAGTTACTCGGTGTATATCCTCATCCACATCCAGCCTGCTTCCCGAAATCCCTTACCAAAGCAGGCCTTACTGCTTTTGATATGTGTGCTTGAGGCTTATGAGGACTTACGAGGTAGGGCCTTTCTTCCACAGTTTAAGAAAGGGATGCTCACCAAGGAAAAGGTAGATTGAGACAGAGAAGCTGAAGTAACCAGCAGGTAGCACTGATGGCAGGAGGCCAGAAAGCATTTTCTGGGTAGCTCAACATAAGGATGGGCTTGTAGGAGCCTGGGGGGGCCATCTCCCACATGTGTGCAGAAGGTTGAGCAGAAAGAGAGCATCTCCTCACGTGCCAGGCTCCACAGTGTCCTGAGGTGTGAACTCACCCCAGGTGTGAGCTCTCCCTAGCTCACCACACAGCTTTAAAAGACATGAGTCAGCTCCTCCTTCCTTTTCCTGCCTGGACCTTGAAAGGAGATTAAAAAGCCTGGGAAATCCTGCTGACTCAAGATACTCTTTTGGGGTTGGGGGGAAAGAGGTTCTTTTTATTATTATTTTTTTTTTCTTCTGTATTCCCTTCTGATGTTCTAGCCTTTCAGGTAAGCTCAGATTGTGYTCCATGGCTGTCCTGAAATTGCTGTTCCCGGTGGGCTTATTCTTTTTCTGCAAGTCCCTGAGGAGGGAGTGCTGCCCAACTRCAAGACCCTCGCCGTGGGGCAAGGCAGGACCCTGGCTGCAGAGAGCAGTACGTGCAAGACGCCGGCAGCTTCCTAAGCGCCCTCCAGAGCCCGGCTGACGCTGTTATCTCTGCTAGAAAACTGACCCACAACAAATGCTGGGGCGGCCAAGAGAGTCAGTGACTCACTGCGGGTTTCCCTGAGCGGGTGTCCCTGCCCTCGTGCGGCTGAGGTGGCCGTGGGGGAGCGGCGGGGCGCCCGCTGGGGCGCGAGCGGCAGCGGGGCGGCCGTTGAGCGGCAGCTATTGGCTGCGAGCGGCGGTTGGAGGGCGAGGGGCGGCTGGGCGACCGTTAAGGAGCAACCGTTGGAGGGCGAGGGGCGGCTGGGCG